CATGTTGTTTGGCGATATTTTTTTCTTAACTATTTAACTTATTGAATTTCAACAAAGTCAGAAAGATCTGTACAAATCTGTTTTCAGTTTTCAGATACCAATTAATTGTGTTCCTGTATTACGTTAGAACTAAGCTCTATACTTATAGAAAATGTAGTATTTCAAAATGTAAAAAGACAGAAAATCATAATTCATGTAGGTTCATAATAGAATATGTTGAATGACAAAAAGTCAATGCAATTAAGGCATTATTTTGTCTTCTTTTATTTCCCGTGCAAATAAAAAGATGTTGGTCGATTGTCAAATAGTTTCTGAACTCGCAAATATAAAGTGCATGAGAAAAATAACTTTAGTGATTTGTTTTAATATTTCTTGAAGCTTTTACTTTTCTTGTTTTTATACAAACAGCTTGTACCAAGAAAAATAATTGTGTTAGGTTGATGGTAACATAACTCATGAGAAAATATTAAGTTAATCCGATTGTCTTATAAAAGTGCAAAAGGTGTAATGACCAACTGTTTTCTTTATGTCATGAGGAATTGATTTTTACTCGAGTAATATTTTACAAAAGGCCTAGAATATTCTTGATTATTCACATATTACATAAAGTAGTGACTCTGAATATATATACAAATAAAAAAATCCGTTTTTATAGGTACTTGTATGTAATGTCAAGGTCATTTCCCTGATAATTAATTAAATCAGAAATTTGGAAATAATACAATGCACTTTTACATCCAGTTCATAAGGTTTACACAAGTTGTCATTTTTTTCAATTGCTTACTAGTATTAATTCTTTGTTTGAGTAACACTTATTCTATGTTAATGCTATAGTTAAAAACTACGGTTATTTTGTTTAATTAAAGAACAATGGAAAACTTAATGCGTTCATGACACGGATGTCACAATTTACAGGAAGCATGATATGGGCAATTGCCAAAATTCTGTAAAAGTAGTCAACAGGTTAAGTTGAACCTAACGTAACCTCGATCTTCGGGTCATCGTTTTGCAAGTACTTACCTGAATTTATGTCAAAACATACATGCATGACAAAATGTGTACAAACATTTAAGTCTACGGGCGGGACGTCCTTCAAACAAACTTGAATTGCGAAACAAATCCTGCAAAACTACAAAACATTGTGACCAAAAGATACCTTTTGGATTGATATGAAATAATCTTTACTTAAGTTAACGGCAAGAACAGCTCTATATACTTGGTCACTTACTGGTAGGTAAAATCAGCAGTGCAATTCCGTCCTCATTAGAACAAAGTATTTAAAATCGACAGCTGCAATTTGTTCTGTAATATACACTAACAAGGCTAAAACACATCTCAAAGATACCAAAGCTTATAAGTTTGTATGCCATTTGCGCATTTTGTCTACAAAAGACTCATAAATGACGCTCGAATCAAAATAAAGTTAAAAGGCCAAATAAAGAACGAAGTTTGATGAGCATTGATGGCAAAACATTCCAAAACGTTTTTCCAAATGCATCAAAGGAAATGAATTCTTTGGGAGAAAAGCCTTCAAAGTTTTGTAAACAGTTATATATTAATATGACAAATGTTTGAGATTGATCGAACTGAAACCAAAGCAAATACACAAAACAAGAAATGGAAGCTTTTTAAAAAGTCTGACGATCAAATGTTTGAGATTTACCGAACAGTAACCAAAGCATATACACAAAGACAAGAAATGGAAGCTTTACGAAAAGTCTGACGAAATAGAAGACAATGCGTGCAGCATGCGTGATAGACGGTCTTAATTAGTTATACGATATTATTGAAATCATTGTCTGTTAAAAGCCTTCCGGTTAGGGAACTTATATATTTGTAACAGAGTGCAAATTACTCTACTATAGCAAAAGAAATGTAGCATTTCAATGTCTAATACTCAAATGTATAAACACATTTCACCTGCTAAAACTGTCCTTGAGTTTAATTACGAAACAATAGAAAAATACTTTAGTATTATATCTTTGAAATACGAAAATAGTCATATCATTTGAATTGTTTTGACATTGTCACTTCACAATATCTAATAAACGAGACTTGTACTATTTTTATAGTTTTTTTTTCTTTTTAAGATTCATCAATTTCACATTCACTGATGACGTTTAAGTGTTCGTCCTTAATTAGTATGGTATAAATTAATGTACCTTTCATGTCGTTATAGCCAATAATATGTCATTGGTGTGTTACAAGAAGACATAAAAAGTGGAGTTTAAGATTAAAAACCGAAAATAGAATACTAATTAAAAAAAATATCAACAACAGTTTATTTTTTTTTTGAAGCATTAATTGTTGTCCTTGAAAACATTGATAAAAAATCCTGAAAAACAAAAGCAGACGACATACCAAAAACAAACAAAATTCGGAATACAGGATATGACATTGATGTATAGGAAATATCCTTACGCATGTAGAGGGTATCTATTTCTTTGTATAAATACGAAGCCATGTGCTGTCGGAATGAGGCCGTTAAATTTATGCCTCGTGTAGGGAAAATGTCGCGCTCGTTGTACACTAAACTATTGCAGCAGCTCTTTGTGGTGCCCTTGGTGACCTGTTGCAAGGCACATTACAGTCACTTTTCAACAAGTGGCAGAGCCAAACGGACATTCGTCTTTAGCATGGATTTACCTACCGAACTTATGAAGCCTAGATGACAATATTTCTATACAACAGTAAACCCAAAGGGTAAAGACATGTACAAAAGAATTAACAAAAATACCGAACTCATAGGTAAATTTTAAAAAAGTCCATAAAATCTCACAAAATCAACGCGTATGTCATGATAAGTACACGAATAGTGAACGGCAGAATTATATCCTCCGGTCTTATACAGTACCAGTGGTTTACTTTAAGACATGCGTATTTCATTCTCAATATAATATAAAATGAAGAAACACATAAATACATGTAGGTAAAAGTTACATTATAAAAGCTTGGTTATTTCGTATGCAAAAGAAAAGATGGATAAAAAATTACCTCAATAATTCATACATCATATATGCCATCACCATTAAACATACATGTAGTTACTTTGTTAATTTAATTGATATTTAAAGGATAAATAAGTTAATATTGATCTTGCTTAAAGGAGCATTGGCCGCCAAATTCATAACCACAATTAACGCACACACTTTAATTTGATTTGATTTATAACATAAGAAAATATTTACCGTATTTAAAAATTTCCATAGAAAATGAAACAATAAACAATGAATGAAATCAAAATAACATATCAGTATTTCGTGCGTATTTTAGGCTAGACGCCATTTAATTAACCGTTGAGTTGACTTCCGAAGGCGGCCATGCAATAGTATAATGACGAATCAGTCAACGATATAGTCCTACCTGGTGGGTCCCTTTTTTTACTTCCCAATGTTGACATTTTTTATTCTTAATAACTGAACATGTTGAGCACCTGTGTAAATCATCTCCAGCTAAGACTCAAATAAAAGACTTGTATGCCTACGGACACAAATGAGGTAGAGTTTTTGTCTTTCAAGATAACAAAATAGCGGCGGTGTTTTTTTTATATGTTCTTTTGTTTTTAAATTAAACCTAAGTGACTGCTGATTGCAAATTATTATTTCAATATTTCTCTTTTATTAACGTCTGAAACCAAAAAAAGAAGTGTATATAAGTTTGTCTATATCGTCTCAAGTGCCCCTTTAAAGATTTTGTTTAGTACTGTCTTGGATAGTTCATCTCAAGAACAGCAATAAAGCTAAGTTGTTTGAACTGTGACTATGTTTTGCTATATTCTGAGACGATCTTGTAGCGCTTAACGTTTCTACGTATTTTTACATCCCTGGCTTTGAAATGTTTGGATTCTAGCAGTCCCAAAGAAGGTAAATCCAGAAAAACGTTTCGGACTCACGGAATTTATAAAGTGTTATTTTCATGTATGCATACCGTATCATATACGCCTTTCTTTATGTAAAAAATGTGTCAGTGTTAGGTTTGTTTACTTCAACTTTAATTTGCATATTAGTTAACTGAAATAAAATCATATAGCATATACCTATGCAGATGTTAGAATTTGTGCACACACATTGTAATATTCTAAAAGGCTTTAAAAATGACAGAAATGATAAGTTCGATGCGAATAAAAAGGTGTATATGAACAAACATTCAGAAATCCAAAGTATTTCCGTATGGATTTACCATCCTACTTGAGTAATTAAGTGCCAATCTGCATAAGAATCAGGCAGTGGTGAAAACATGACAAACAAAAACCCACTCAAGTTGACATTAATTTATGTTTAAATTGTATAAAGATGCACGAATATAACATTCGTTTCTTTTTCCTGTTCTGATAATTCAAGATATAATTTCGTTAAAATGCACTAGAAATTAACAATTAAGGGGAGCTAACTCATTGCTATCATTCTAACCAAAAGTTATCTAGAGATGTTTTAATTACTAGACATACAGAAACGAAAGACCTACCATTTCTAACTCAGGATGGAAGTAACTTCAAAATAGGATGGTTAGGTCGGTGGGTTTTTTTCGGCCATGTTTTGATTTTTTTCAAATTTTGTCTGATTCTTACAAAGACTGGCAGGATGAAAAATAACAAATGATAGGTTTATACGTTGAAAACAATTTTCTTCAACCGCTCTAACCACATATCTTACTTACTGGAAAATATAATTCGTTACGGTATTTACCATAATAAAACATTTGTCCGACTGTTACATCAACAAAAACAAATAATGTAAAAAACTGTATTATTTTACACTTTTTAACAAATTACTATGATAAAGAGAGATATTTTATATCCGTCATTGGGACGTCAACCCGATGACACAATATTTCAAATGGTATCTTACGTTTCTGTCTGTAACAATTATAGTCAAACAAAAATAGTTAACTTACTAGTCATACACAAAAGCACTAGTGATTGGTTGCTGTCTCTTTGACGTATACCGCATATATACTTTTATTCGTATTCATCCTGTTGATAGACTGTTTTTATCTTTCAGGAGTCGCAGTAGCTGTCAGTGTTTATTCTCTAACGGCGATGAGCATCGACAGGTATTTGTCTATTCAAAATCCAATGGCATCACGAAAATTCATGACAAAGCGACAATGTTTGATCATGATCGCCGCCATGTGGATTATATCAGCCTTGTTTATGGGACCATTGCTGTACATCAAAACTGTCCACACTAGTGAACTAGATAGCTTGCCGTCTGTCGACTTTTGCATTGAACAATGGCCACAAGAGCGAGATCGTAAAGCATACGGTTTGTTTTTATTGTTTGTGGTATTTCTTATTCCCGGTGTAACTCTGGCCGTCTGTTATTCGCATGTTGGACGCGCCCTTTGTTCAAAGGACATGACACGTGAAGGGTCTGATACAAGTACACGTGGTTTGTTTTCCAGGAAGAAAGCTGCCCGGATGATCATTATCCTCATCATTGTGTTCATGTTGTGCTGGTTGCCTTATAACATTGCGTCTCTTGTATCTGATTTGTCACATGACTTCGTCCTTATACTCCTTTTCTTTACATTGTGGCTTGGACATGCGCATAGTGCTATCAACCCGGTCATGTTTTGGTTATTGAACAGGCGTTTTCGGGAGAAAGTACGAGTTTTGGTTAAATCTGTCAAAAAGAATACATTTTCTTGTACCTCAACAAGTAGCATGTCCTTGCCAGCCTACGTATAAAACACTTAGAGCAGACATAATATAGAGTAATGGTGTTATTTACATGTTAAAACAATCAAAATCCCTCTAAATTGGTGTTGTTAGCGACAGATCGACTTCAATACTTCCATTCTAAATTCATGATGTTTAAAAAAAAATGTATGGTAGGATTACAGTTGTCCTCATTAATTAAATACAGATAGCGTTAATGATGATAATTTAACTATGTCAATTTTCTCATTCGGAAGTTAATAAAATGCTGATTACCCACATGCAAGAAGCTTTGTGATATCATTTCGGCATGTAATTAGAATGACGCATTCATTACTGTGTACTTTTGATGACCAATTATAGTAACCTTGTTATATTGAGAAGTGTATTGAAAATTTTTATCAACAAGCAAATTTTAAGTTTAATCTATAAATTCATCATATGAAAAATAACATCCTTTGCTTTTAAATATTAGTTCTCATTTCATATTATGCTTATTGAGAGGATTCGTAGAAAATTAATTGTAATGGTCCGATTTTGAATCAATAAATTTCTTCACAAAATCTTTCACGATTGACATCAAAAGTTGCATGGATTTTCAAATTTCTACTAAACTTTATGAACGTTGTGTATAACTTTACTTATTCCGCCTGACGAAGAAGGCCTATTTTTATATATTTCTTTCTACAAATAGAATTCGGTAATACAAACAATATAACCATATAAACCATATAAAGTTCATTGTTTAATTAAAGATTTAACAAAGATATTTGATCTCCCGAAAATCTCGTGACAAAATATCACTGAATATACTTATAAGAACTTGTTCGAGATTAGAGTATTTTTTTTTGGTAAAAGTGGACAATATTTCTACTCAGTCAGATATATATGCCTTATATATTTTTTCATACAACTGCCATCGAACTTCAATTATGATATATCAACGTATTTTATATATTTATATAGTCAAGGTGCTACAGTTAAGATAATGTTGGTTTGTGAGTAAACAAATAAGCCAAATGTTTGTTAGAAGTAAATGTTGATACTGTTCACATCCGCCTCGGTGGTTTCGTGGTAGCGTGTTCGCCTCGAGTGTGAGAGGTCGTAGGTTCGAACCCCGCCCGGAACATACCACAGACTTTAAAATTGGTATTTGCTGCTTCTCCGCTAAGCACGCGGCATTACGGAGTAAGTGCAAAGACTAGTCGGCTCGGAGTCAGATTAATGTGTCCAGGTAAGGTGACATGTCTTTCTGTGGACTGTTACCTTGTCAGCTAGTACGTTAAAAATCCGGCTCTGCGTGTCGATTTAGTACAAAGCAGGGTTAATATTCCTATTACATTAACATGTTCTCGTCCTGAATATGCATTTTGATTGGCCACTGGACGTTAAGAAGCCATCCACCATCATCATTATACTGTTCACACGGTATTTCGAAAGTAATAATCGTGCAAATGATTGAATATTACGTGCCACAAATTCAAATTATAGGATTTGAAAATATATCATATGATACCAGTTAACCGTTTTGCTGATGACCATTCTGGTAAATTCATTGTTGCTTCGTTATACAACTCTTCATGAGGTAGGGAAAACAAGTCAATCATTTTTCTCGGTGAGCACTTTTAACAAAGTCCTTTCTTTGTTTTTTGTTTTATGAGTTGTGAGAGGGGGTGTTCTTATGTTGTACTTTTTATAAAGCATCTTAAATACCGGTAAAGATGTGTTCAAAATATAACATTTTAGTGACGTTAAGATTTATAATGCAACAGACATTGTTTTGTATACTTTATTGTAACTTTGTTGTGAAATATAATGATTTATGAAACCAAACAGAAAATATAGCAAATTATTCTACAAAAAATCGGAATAGTAACTTGCATTTATAATTTTACAATTAGTTCCAAAAGTTATTCTGGTCAGAGATTTTGATATTCACGCTTTCTCGTAGAAGTTAGAAAAGCTTCGGAAGGCATGAAAAATATGTTGATCGAGTTTTAAAAAAGGTAGGCTTAAGCGAAATGTATATAAAAAAACAGGAATTTATATATATATAAGTATACATTTTATATTGTTTATCTGAACACATTAGTTATGTGAAACTCAATAGTTTGATGTTTGTGCAATAAAATCTAGTGACGTAATCAGCTGATAAATACCAGGTTGTCATTTAAAAACTTTCACCATACAATAAAAGGGTTTTTGCAAGAACGTTAGCGAATATTTTCCTTTGTTTAATAGCATGTACACTGAGCTGTTGCATTAATAATAAAATTATTATTCTATTCAGGACAACATTCATCGATATAAATAATACAGCATAATTTACGGCATATTTGTTGCCTCTAAACTGGTTTCGGTTTCTGGTAGGTTTAATAAACCTTCTATTTGTTCTTCCAAACCTAGTGCGTAAAAGAAACTGGTTTACTATTTGTTTCTAGAAAACTAAAAACCGGTTTCCTAATCTTATCAAACCTCCGTGTGTGATTTGAACATTTTCACAAACCAAAACAATGAACAATCCCTTAACTGAAAATAGTTAATTTGTTAAACAAGGCAAATAAACCAGTGGCGGATCCAGAACTTTTTGTGGGGGGGCACTGAACGACCTAAGGGGGGCCCGCTCCAGTCATGCTTCAGTGATTCCCTATATAATCAACCCCCAGCCCCCCCCCCCTGGATCCGCCTATGTAAACTTAAAAGTTAAAAAAGGCGAACAATGCAATCAATGTTAGTTTCTTTTACTTCCTATTGAAAGAGTAATTACAGTTATTACTAGCAAGTCAAATGAAATTATGGGACGGGTAACAGAATGATGACTGACAACTCTGTTTGTTTCTATTTTTATAAAAGATAATAAAGAATTCCTGGTTCGAGCTAATTTTTTTGCCGGAAGTGCATACGTATGTGGTTCATCTGTAACTAAATTAAAAGAGGTTATTTGTATGTTATTTTATTTCAAAATACATAAGCCCGAAAGTACAATTTGTTTATAATATTTTTTTATGTTTTATCTCTTATTTTACTTTTAGTCGGAGTGTATATGTACTTTATTACTGAGATAACAAGTTGCTATTGTTTATCGACTTTGGTATGACTAAGACTACTTTGGAAGGTCCAGACATTTTCCGGAAAACCAGTATTATTTTAGATAAGTTGGATGTCGAAACAATTATCTAAATGTAGATATGTTGTTTACTCCTATACAATAACTAACTGTTGTTTAATTAGCATGATTAGTTTTTCTGTATTAGATTTTGTTTTTGGGGTTTTTTTTGTTACTAAAAATAGTTTCACTATTTTTTAAACCACAAAAATTATATAAAGGTTAAATACGACCAGGGGTCCAATACTAGGATGGACTTCCAATAATGCGGATTGTGGCCTAAAGTAGGGAAATAAACAATTTATGTATTTTCTAAACAAAAATAACAACCATTAAAAAAAAATAAAATGCATAAAAAAACTAATTAAAAGACTTAAACTTTATTTTAATTGGGACTGATTTTTTTTAACTTTTCAAATAATTTCTGTTTGCCTAAACACATATTGAATATTTATTTTTGTATTGTATTATAACTTGTTGACCACATGGACGGACACAGTTTACGATTGTTATAACTCATATATTTTTTTCTCTCGGTAATTTATCTCGCTGTTTTGGTTTTAACCAGACAATCTTCTTACATGATTATCTGACAAAAATAGACGTTTCTGAGGGAATTATATATAGTAAATGCTTTGTTAGATTCGTGGTTTTGCTTTATTGTTTGTTTTTTTCAAAAGAATATCAAAAAACAATGTATGTTTCTCTTGTGAAATATAAAAAGAGGCTGTACGTATTATTGTTTTGTACAACCAGTATGCTTTTGATGTTGAATAAAAATATTTTCCTGATATATGTTATAATTAGCATTTAGCTTATTAAATATTATAATTATTTAGCCTAACATGTAATTCAAGCTTCAAAAACAGCACAGTAAAGATATTTCAAAACATGTTCAGTTTTCAAAAAGACCAGTTGAGTTAACAAAGGAGATACCAAGAGACATTCAAATTTCAAAATTCGGGAAAAAAACTGCAACGCCGTAGCCAAAAACGGAAAATAAAGGAAGGACAAAAACGTCATAGAAAACTAAATACTGAGCAACACAAACCCAACCAAAAAACTGGGGGTGTACTCAGATGATCCGGGAAGGTAAGCAGTTCACATGTGGCACCTGTCGTGTTGAGTACAATAAAAATACAAGACTGAGGAAATTTTTACACATATCAAGATAGGCGTAACACTGGAGTACAGAAAACTCCACAGAACAAACAATCGTGGTAACGGGTTGTCCTTTGATGTCGTCGCCATCCAAATTAAACCAGACGCTTTGAAATTGATATTAGTTGTTTTAAAATCATAAGGCGTTAAGAGCTTGAGTCTAGTAATGTGATTATTCGATTGACATTAAGCATCTTTGAATTTATCAATACAGCATTACAAATGCTTGAAAGATATTTTTGATCTTTTATCTATGTTTATAAAAAATTTGGCAATATAAAACTATTAAAGATATAGATAACACACCCTTTACAATAAAAGTAAATGGGGAAAATGAGGGGGAAAAAACGGTGGAAAACTAAAGCATTGACATTGACAAAACTATTATTGATTGTATAGATCATCTTAATTTATGGTTATTTCAACTAAATATACCCTTTTCCCACTCAACTCATGGATTTGTTTTAAGGAGCAGGTAATATGATAATGTTACTTTTTTCACTTGAATCCAAAACAAAGAATTAATCAAAATCTATCAAATAAGACAATTCAGATGTTCACAATACATAAGTCTTAATTATAATAATTATTAGTATCAATCATTTTAATTTGGGGTTAATTCGGAGATCCGAAAAGTAGAAAAAACGTTGAAAAGCCGAAAATTATTAATAGTTCCGCAAATCCCAACTACGAGATTCGACGTTATAACTAAAGGAGGGGATCCTTTTTTCCAAACTAATTTACAATTTTGTCATTGGAAATATCTTTTAAGGATAATGGTATTATCGTGCTAGCACAAATAACACTGTTCTGCTGGGCCGCTGATAACCTCATAATAATCTACCAGCAAAGATAAGGGTTTTCCGCATGCAAAACAATATAAAACGTAAAAATTAGGAAAACATATATTTAAAAATATGAGAAATGAACACGAAGTCTTTATAGCAAAAAAAAAATGGCGTATGTATGGAAAATAGTGCATTCCACTTACAAACTTTACATAAAGTCCAAATGAAGTGAATTGATCTTGTTTATGTAGTGGTCGTTTTTGTTGTTTTAAACGACAAGACATGGGTTCTGTATTATTACATGGAGGTCATCAATATCACAGCCTTATTAATCAATTATGCTAGATCCATACTAAGTCTGGTGTAATTAATCCTTTGCGAATACAACTAACTAAACTTACTTGCATTGACATCAATTATGTACAACAATCTTTTCTTAAATATAATAACTTTTATGAAGATCAACATACCGCTTCTGTGGTCATTTGGTAAACTTGCCATATCGCTACACTATGCACTGTTTACACCTTTCATATACAACAAAGAACATATAGCATCACATACCAGTAAAAAAATCACTGCAAATGAATAAATGAAGATGTGG